GGAGCCGAGCGGGGTTCTGGGCGCGCGCGGGGGCGGGGGTGCGTGTGCCGGGGGCAGACGCCACGGCGTTCTTGCAGCTGGAAATGGGTTTTGTCTGGAAGAAAGTTCCTGGAGAAGAAGCTCTCGATCATCTCAGTCTCCCTCTTAATTTTTTGTCTCTAGTGGTGTCTTCTGAGTGTTTTTTAGTGTAAACGCCGAATGCCGGACGGAATCGAGCTTTGCCTGGCGTTCCGTCCGAGAGCTGCGCAGCCCGCTTCCCAGCTAGCAAACCGTTTTTTAATGCGCTTTCGAGGTGCTGGGTTCCGCCGGTCGTAGCTGGTGCGTTTGGCACAAGTGGATGGCAATGGCGCCGTGCTTCGCTGAGCCCCTCTCCCGCTCCCCGCCGCCAGCGGGCCCTGAGCGTCTTCCCACGGCCGTCTGCAGACCGGCCGAAGCGCTCCTTGTCTGTTTCCAAACCAGGTGTTTGTGCCCGGCCTTGGCCTGGAAGAGCCTGGAGCTGAGGCTGGCGTGGGGCCGAATGGGAGCAATCAGGCCGTGGTGTCTGTACTAATTTGCACTCCTTACTCTGCTAATGAGGCTATGCTGTTTCAGGTCTGGAACAGGCTTATCTGCCTGCTCAGCACTGGTGGAGGGAGTGTCTACTTGTGAGAGACTGGAAATACCTCAAATCTTATTCTATTAATCTCCGAGTCCCGCTCTCCAGCAAAGCTCCCTCAAAAAAGCAGGCTGTTGCCTGTCCCTGCTCTGTTGCATGAGGATGACAGAGTAAAGGTAGCTCAAATTCTTTGGGGACAAAATATAGTTCTGGCTCCATAACTGAAGCAGGTGAATCCTTTAACTCAAGAGTTTTTCAGAATATGTTTCCCCCATGTGGGAAAGTTCAGCCAGAACTTTGAAGGTTTGGCAAAGTTACGAGCGAGGAAGATCCTTGAATGGACCCAGTGTTGGGCAGCTGTAAGAGGTGATGCTGCCAGGTTCACTTATCACCGGTTATCCCGCCCTGGGGCTCTCTGCATTGCTTTTCCTCATGAAGTAGTATCAGGGTTTTTTGATTGTACAATATTAGTACAATTCAGTAATTTACAGTTTTATTTACAGTGTTTCCAAGATTTGGGAAGAAGCATTTCAAAATAAGCACGTACATTATTTCTTGTTATGGAGGGAGGGCAACAAATAATTACGCCTTTTGTTGATCTTACCTAGAAGAGAGAGAAATCTCTCATATTGAGGAAATTTTTTTTCTCTCTTATAGTTTCTTCCAAGTTTTCTGTCTTTGCAACAGGTGTTGCAGTATGCAATGCAGCTGTTCCTGTGTGCTTCATTTCCTTGCCTTTCAAAGCAAACTTCAGGGAAAAGATAATGCTTTAAGGAGGAAACACAAGAGATGAAGAAAAATCACTTGTGCCTAAGCTTATCCTTCAGTCTTCGTTCCCTCCCCTTTTCTCCTCATACTAGAGATAGAGTGGGTTTACTGGTTTCATTTTTCTCTGGGATGATGGGTGACGCTTTGTTGGTTTAGGTAGCAGAGAGGAACTCCTCAGACTCCCTAAATGTCATCTCCGGAACTGCGTGCAGGGCCAGGAAGTGTCTTACCAGATACGCTTGCTCCCCCAAGTGTCCAGAAGTGGTCCTCAAAGTCATTTGGATTTTTTGCTTCAGGTTTGTTCTGTGATGGAGACAGCGTTGAAGCCCCACTGTGATGAACAGCACCTTCATCAGGCTGAAGACTTCCATGGGAAGCATGAGCAGAACAGCAAGCTTTCAGGTATGTGCGAAGATAGGGATTGCTAACATTACGTTTTGTTGCTGACGTGCTTCCTCGTTGCTTCAGGAAGTCTGAAAATGGTCCTGTTGTATAAAGAATTAATGAAATTAAAACACTGGAGGTTGCTTTTAAGCTTATTCCTGCTTTCCGTGTGTTAAAAAACTTCAGCAGCAGTAGTTTGTTATAATTTGCTAGCCCTACTATTTATTTACTACAGAATATGTTGTTATAAGAGGGTACCAGAATTCCAAAAAGGCAGTCCTTGAGAAAAAAATTCTCTGACCAGACAAGTACAAAAAAAAAAATAATTTTGCCTTTTATCACCAGCCTTATCCTTAAATTTCTTTAGATGTGTCTGTGCATAAAATACCACTGTCTTACCAGGGAGACTGCTCTGATAGAGTTCTTGTTGCTTGTTTTTGGGTCTCTTTCTGAATGTACTTCAGCCTGGACTTTCTGTACAATACTTGCTCAGTAATTGTGGATGGTCAGCCAGCTTATATATAATGGTTACTGATTTTCCTTGAAATAGATAGTCCTCTGTCAGTCCCCTGCGCATCCATGTCCCGAATTACATAGAGTAGTGCTGAAAAACATTTAATTGCCTTCCTTTGTGAATCCTTTTCATGCTAGCAAGTAAAGAAATTACTTTAAAATCTGCTCACAGAAAATGCTGGATATCATTATTATTGTACGGTGATGGTACAATGACTGTACTTTACCCAACTGGAGATTCAGGCCCCCAGCAGAGAACAGATGATGTTTGTACTGCTGTCTATCAACAAGGGCAGTCACGGACTGTTTCTGGCACTTTTCGGGATCTTTCACACAAGAAGCAGTGTGGAGTTACTAAATGTTGTCGGTGCCTGGGGGAGGCACTGCTCTGGCCTTGGATCTGCAGCCTGTGTCGCCCAGCCGTTAGTGCTGTGACAGCGTTGGATGTTGTCCAAGCAGGAACCTGAATTCCGTGTCAGACAAAACGGAGTATTTGGCAAATACTGAGGGAGCTTTTCACGACTGTTAGTGTCTACCACAGAACTGATAGATTGGCGGCATGAGACAACCCAAAGAACATCTTGACTGTTAGTACAACTCTGGTCATTTTTTTCCTAGGCTATTTTTGAAGTTATAAAATATGATTTATAGGAGAACTGATTAACCTTTTGCTTGTATTTGTTGATCAAAACAGTATCTTAAATGGATGTTAGCGGTTTTGGTGTGTAGTGTAGAGGGTGGGGGTTTTTTCATTCCTGAAACATTGCCCTTTGAAATGACTTAAAATAACTTGGAGAAGCAGAGCAAACAAAGGAAAAAAGGAAGTCAATGGATAGTAAGAGAGGCAGCAGGCTTCAGTACTCAAAAGTATTTTTAGTATCTTAGTTTTTACAAATTTTTGAAATAAAAAAAATATTACAATCAAAAGTTAGCTATAACTTGAATTACCAACTAATTTATTGAGTTTTTACCAGGAAGAGAGGGTTCTTTAGGCAGACTTCACATTTTATTGCTGTATAAAGAGAGCTAACATAGAGGGTTGGTATGCATGCCTATCTATACTTTGTTTCTAGCGTATCAGTGATATTTTGAAAATAATTCTCATTGCTTATGACTTACTGCCCTGGTAAAACATGGTACGTTTTTATGTATACACTACAATTTTTATATTTATGTTAAATTTAATTTATTATTTAGTTTTAGGATGAAAAATGTATGCACAATATTTTTCCTTCCATTTGACTTTCCAAATACCAGTTTGCGCTTACTTCTGTATAATAAAATATTCTTCACTCCTGCTTAACAGAAATTAGTCACAGCCTCTACATACTTCATAGCTTCAAAATAAGTGAATTCTTATGCAGGGTATAGAGAACACTTAAACTAGAAGGATTCATAAACTGAATGGAAAACTGCATAATTTTTTGAAATAATAACATCCTTGTCATGCCATCTAGTGATCACAGCACAAAGTGCAGCAACTTAGATGCAGAGCAGACACATTTTTTGGTGTTTACTATTTTAAGTAACATTGTGAAAGATTGCATTATTGATATTAATTTGTTATTGGTTTGGTTCTTTTTATTTTATTTTCCTACACTTTTGATTTGCATCCATGGATGTGCTTCTGTGCTTCCAGAAACAACTATTACAGTTTTTGTCTTTTATCAAATTGACATTGCAAATCTCATGAAAAATTTATCCATGAGCCCTAATCTGATGTCTTACTAACCAGAGGGCTTTTGCTCTCTCAGGAACTGCTAGGTGGCAGATAAGTAGAAAAAAAAAATTAAATGCAGCAGCTTATACGCAAGTGTGAAGAACAACAACAGTAATATCAAGTATGCAGGTGGTAATGTCAGCAGGGATAGATACCTATCTGCTGTTTTTTCCTTTGTTTATGTGAATTCACAGTCCAATGAACTGAAGTGTGATTTGTGATCTCAAATATGGATCAGATGCTGAATCAAGCAATCAAATTCCTAACTTTTTTTCTCCATTCTTTCCACA